ATATCGTGACCACTATCATCATCATCATCGTCATCATCATTGTCAAGAAGGACCTTAGTCTCGTGCGGCGTGTAAAGGAAGTTTGTGACAGTTTCCAACAACCTTGGGCCATAATTTCTGAAATACAGGTCTGCCCATCGCTGCGCAAGCAAAATGCCTATAGGCATCCAACTTTGGAATTCCAATTTTAAACTTTTACCAAGCAGTGAAGCGGACATTTTCAGCCACTCCGGTTCTCCGTCCTCCAGTTGAAATCCGTGTATTTTGTCTTCTCGCCATAGTTTAGTCATTTCCTTCACTGTAGCATCTACAGCATTTGGTTTCTTGTCATCAAAAGGAACTAGTACGAAGGGACATTTCACTTGAGAAAACCTCTTAGATAGGATTTGCTGCAGCGTGATATGAAACCAATACAGCTCATTATTTCTCTGCTCATGATCGGTGTCTGTAAGCTGTAACCCTTTCAAACAGGTGGGATAGTCACAAGGAATGTAGTAGTCTTTGCGACCACACTTACGTTTATTAAGAGAAACAAAATACTTTTTCTGCCGTACACCGCACATGTTCTTCGTTGTTATGAGAACAGTCTTCTTATTTTCAGTGTCCGACTCCAACAGCTTTGTCATTTGCCTATTAGTCTCTTCCGATGATCGACAGCTCTGTGAGTAGAGCATTAAGAGATGTGGCATCACGGTGGCACCAGCCATCTCTTTATTGTTCCATGCCTGCAACTTGCTCGATAAGTCATCCTTAATTATATCCAGTAATCCAGACCAGTGCCAGTACGCCAATGTAATGCCCCATCCAACAACCTCGGTTAGCTAAAGTCATTGAAAAATGAACACATTTCACTAACGTCCTTCACCATAAAAGACGAGATTGTAGAACACAATATTAACAATGGAATCATTTAAAAGAGACTAGTGTTAGTATATTATATTTCATACGAGTGGTGATTGAAGAGTCTGTATTGCTACAAATAATAAATAAACCAGGGAAGCACTGTCAATATTTATTTGTCCCAAATATTTATCTCAACGATATCATTCATAATATTTGCTGCTCATAATTTTTAGTTGTTCAAACATTCCAGGATGGCATGTACTACACACTCCATGTTTAATTACAGCCAATTTGATGTACATTGACTTCTTCATTATTCATAGGTTCATTGTGCATCAACATAAATATTGACAAGTAAGTAAGTACAAGTATAGTAAGTAAGTAAGTAGTAAGTAAGTAAGTAAGTAAGTAAGTAAGTAAGTAGTAGCAAGTAAGTAATACAACTATAGCTACTTCTTAGCTGGCTGGAATTTTAAAACAAAAACTTCATCAATGATTATACCATAACTAATACTATACTTACAGGAGGTGGATTGAAGTAGAAGTCTTTTTGTAGAGAATTATCACACACTGCCATCTGCTTCCGATTTTCGACTTGGTTCTTCTTTGTAATTTCATTCATAACCATTTCTTTTCCTTGTTTCCCTGACATTTTGGCGTGCACCTTTATTGGCAAATGTATGAGAAATGCATGTTAAATGCCACATGTACACACATACCACATGACACATGCCACATGCCACATGTACACACATGGTGGTTTATGGGAACAATGTTTTGTAATAGTGTAAGCTAACTAATTGTCCAAGTTGCACTTCATCACACTTATATTATTACACATTCCAAAACTTTGGGCGCATTATTTTTCTGAGTTATAGTTTGATATAATAAAATAACTGTAAACCTTGTGAGCAAGGTTATCCAGGTTACTCCAGTATGCTTCTGCTGCAAACACCTCAGCCAGAACATTGATGAACCAAGAGCCTTTTTCTCTGTGTCGCATTGCTGTTATCAAACATAAAAAATATTAATTTTTTTATGTGATAAAGTTCAATAACAACAGTTCACGGATACAAGGCCCATGATCTTTCTGTGATGTGTATTACATATTTATGTTGGTTGCTATGATCCACCGTTAAATGTATACGTTACATTTTCCATGCATAGTTCTATAATGGTAGTGCAGACAAAAGACTGTGTTAATGTGACAATGCCTTGCCTGTTTCTACATGAAATGACCTGTGACGTTGTGAACATAAAGACAAATTAAGAGAAGCCCTTTAATAGGATGCATGGTATATCACAGAAAATTGGTTACTCTACCAGTTTACTTTTCTATTACACTACAGCGCGGCAGTAAAATAACGCCACACAAACATCTTCATCATGAGATTAGCCACAGCTTTTGCTAGAATTTCGTAGGTGCCGAAATACTGATTAGTGGAGATTCAATTAGTACTATGTGGACCGAAACAGGAGAGCCCTTACAACATCAGAACTATGGCATCGAAACCACAGCATGTAGCGTAATACGGCGTTTCGTCATAGGCATAGAGACATAGAGAATCGGACTACATTAATAGACAATAGAAATGCAGGGTCGACAGAGTAGGGCAAGGGAACGGTTGGTAATCACGCAGGCGTTGCAAAACACATTAGCAACGTTCATAAGGGCGAGGAGACTCGTTCTCAGACAAGAAGGGGACAGTAAGAAAGGGTGGCAACCGGGAAATTAAGAGAAAGTGAACGTGGGAATAAGGAGAAACGATTGCCTGAATACACCCGACGTAATAACACCAGCCAATAAGGCAACGCATAATGTGAGCGGTGCGCCATTGGGCAGACGAGGTCCATAACACCACCCAATAAGGCGACGCGCATAATGTACCTATTACATTGCTAAAATGCTAAAATAGCTAGACTACTTACACAGCTTACCCATAAGGACACACCTTTTCTGTGGACTTCTGACGCAGCTAATGCCTTTCAATAAGTACTAGAGTAGCTCATGGTGGTTTAGTATGCAAATTTATGTCCAGACCTAAACTCTTCAAGAATCCACTAATTGAAG